ATCGCAGTCGTGGTCGTTGAAATAGGAATGGAAGCCTCCGCTACAATGACTCTCGGTTCTGTCTACCATGGTCGTAGTCGTAAGAATAATCGACTGCGATTGGTCAATTCTTATGCGTCTGACTGAATTGACCAATCGCAGTCGATTATTCTTACGACTACGACCATTGTAGACAGAACCGAGAATCATTGTAGCGGAGGCTTGAACCTATTCGAGCGACTACGACTACGACTGCTTTGCGACTGCTCAAGCGACCATCGATACAACTGTACGACCATTGTAGACAGAACCGAGAATCAATGGCCGCGTTCAGCAGACACAACTGTTGAGTGAGCGCTCAGTATGATTGGTTAATACTTTCAGATCCAGCCAATCATGTTAAGAAATCATTGAGCGCTCACTCAACAGTTGTGTCTGCTGAACGCGGCCATTGTAGCGGAGGCTTTAAATGACAGGCATTGGTCGTTGCGTTGGTATAGAAGCACGTTGGAGCATGCGACGCGAACAGACCTCACGAAGTGAAGTTTCCCTGTCGGGTCCGCGCGACATGGCGACTCTTGCTAAAAACCCGCCGTGACTTCGAACGAGGAGAAACGGCCACCGCGTGCCCGCGTCGTCTTTCATTTTCGATCGTAGGGACAGCCGGTGCTCGAAATGTCTCGAAATAGCGTCGACGGGGCGAGCGAGGCGGTACCGCCCGGATATTTCGGATAAGTCGCGTTCACAAGCCTCCCCAAGGTCGAGGGAACGAATCTCAATAGACACGCAAGAGTCGCAAGAGATCGCAAGTACGTCGACGCATCTCCGTAAAAATGCACCGTACCGATAGCGTGCAACGGCACGCAAGTCACGCTGGTCACGCAACGCCGGTTAGTCGCGTTCGCGTTCGCTCTCGGCGCGCGCGAGAGAAAGAGAGACGGGGGCGGATTCGCTCGGCTTAATTCGAGATCCGAGACTCCGAGTACAAACTCCAAGACGCGAGCATGTGACTTCCGCGCGCGCGAGATAACGGCTCCGTCTTATCGGCGATCCCGGATCGATCTAGGCTAGAGTCCCCGCGCCGATCGTCGCGTTAACAATCGGGCCTGCGCGAACAAAGAGAACCGGCCGCGAGGTGGAAAAGAAACCGCGTGACAGGTGGGGAAAAAGAATACATCCGGGGGCGGAGGGAGCGTTAAAGAGGTTCGTAACGCGGGAGAGGTGGGTGACATACATATTTAAGGCTGCCATGCTTGCGCCCCACCGTGCCCTCCAGCCGTGCGCGCATTTTATAAGGACTGTACGCACGTTACAGTCGGTTAGTTACCACGGCGTCGCGTCACCGTCGCCTTCCACCTCGCCCTCGTCCTCGCCGCTCGCCGTGCGGAGGTCCGACTGTCAACGTCATCATCCGCTGCTGCGAAACCCGCCGTCGGCGGAACGATTCGCGAGGACTCTCGGCGCCTCCTTCGCGACAATGGCAAAAATCAAGGTAAGTAAGGTCGGCCGTGTGCGCACCGTAAAGTCGGGAGCGATCGGGGGGGGGGGGAGGGATTTAAAAACCGGTATAAGTAACCCCGATTTCTTCGGGGAGAAGGCGTGGGAAAGTAGACTTCACTCCAGACTTTTTCCTACTCGGACTGAAGGCCGCGCGAATATTATCGCTAATTTTGAAACGTCGGCGAGAACGCACTTCGTTTAGGAGCAAATATTTTAACTCTTTCGCAAGATCGTGTCTCAATCGTGCACAATTGTCGAGTTTTTCCCGTAAAACACTCGGTCTCCGGTCGCAAATGAGCGTTTAAGCAGAAAAACCGCAAGTTGCGTAAAATCGAGATACAACCGGAGACAAGTCCAAGTGTCTCTTTGATCTTAATATTTGTAGAATGAAATTTTTATGTTACAAAAGAATTGTCCAGAGAGAGAGAAGCTTTCGGTAAACTATTGATTGTAAGGTGAGATGTTTCTTGGAATTTTCAGGCAGGTCCGGTCGTCGACATTCTCGGCGACGAGATGACGCGCATCATATGGGACTCGATTAAGGAGAAGCTCATCCTGCCCTACCTGGACATCGAGATGCACACGTACGATCTGGGCATCGAGAATCGCGACGCGACGAACGACAAGGTGACGGTGGAATGCGCCGAGGCGATCAAACGTTACAACGTCGGCATCAAGTGCGCGACCATCACGCCCGACGAGAAGCGCGTGGAGGAGTTCAAGCTGAAGCAGATGTGGAAGAGCCCGAACGGCACCATCAGGAACATCCTGGGTGGCACGGTGTTCCGCGAGGCGATCATCTGCAAGAACATACCGCGCCTGGTGGTCTGCTGGAAGGAGCCGATCATAATCGGCAGGCACGCGCACGCCGACCAGTACAAGGCGACGGACTTCGTGGTGCCGGGCCCCGGGAAGCTGGAGATCACGTGGACCGGCACTACCGGCGAGAAGATCCAGCACACCGTCCACGACTTCAAAGGCCCCGGCATCGCCCAGGCTCAGTACAACACCGACGAGAGCATCCGCGCCTTCGCCCACAGCTCGTTCCGGTTCGCGCTGTCGCGCGACTATCCGCTCTACCTGTCGACGAAGAACACGATCCTCAAGAAGTACGACGGCCGCTTCAAGGACATATTCCAGGAGATCTACGACAAGGAGTACAAGCAGCAGTTCGAGGCGAAGAAGATCTGGTACGAGCACCGGCTGATCGACGACATGGTCGCCTACGCCATGAAGTCTGACGGCGGTTTCGTGTGGTCGTGCAAGAACTACGACGGCGACGTGCAGTCGGACTCGGTCGCTCAGGGCTACGGCTCCCTGGGAATGATGACGTCGGTCCTCGTGTGCCCGGACGGTCGCACGATCGAGGCGGAGGCCGCCCACGGCACCGTCACCCGCCACTACCGTCAGTACCAGCTGGGCAAGGAGACGTCCACCAATCCGATCGCCTCCATTTTCGCGTGGACCCGCGGGCTGCTGCATCGCGCCAAGCTCGACGACAACCCGCGTCTGCGACACTTTGCCGAGACCCTGGAAAAGGTCAGCATCGACACCATCGAGTCCGGCTTCCTCACCAAGGACCTCGCCATATGCATCAAGGGCATGAACAACGTCACCAGGGCCGACTACCTCGAGACGTTCGAGTTTATGAACAAGCTCGCCGAAAATCTCAAGAAACAGCTCAAAGCGTGACTCGCCGATGACGAAGAACGTAGCCTACGAGCCAAGTATTAAGTCGCCGCTTTGTTACGAAAGGAAGAAAGATATTTACGTGGTTACGGGAAGAAGCTACACTTCAATGAGCATATATAATATATACATAATTACGTGCGTATAACATTGTCGCTTACAGTTACGTCAAAAATCTTCCTCGGTTTAACGCCGCGTGTCGTAATCGCACCCGATTTATCTTCGGGGCATTAATTAGACCAATTCATTTCGCAAAACGACGAAGAGTCGATTGCCTCATGTTTTCCTCGATAGCTGTGCAATAGATACGAAAGGCGAGATAATACTGGCGAGATACTGGCTGATGATTGGACCAATTATTCAACTCAGCAAAGCAATCGATGATATAAGTTATCGGTTTATCGTGGTGGCATATTAAAAGTGTAGAATACGTCACCGCGAGTAAACGAAGTAATATAACGAAGCAAATAAATTTGGTACTGTTGAGCGGTAAAAGCGAATTTGTACTGTACATGTAGATTTTTAAATACACCTTTTTTTTTCAATCACAAGACTACAAGTTAACGTACATACGTACACACGAGCATTCTCTATTAAACGAGCGAAGTTCGGAAAAAAAATCCTCAGGAGATTGAAAAGGGAAACTTTATTTATGTAAAAATATAGGAACTTGTCTTTTTAAATGTTTTCTTGACGCTACCATCTAATCGCATTCCCAAAGTTTGTGTTGTGTGTGCAAGTACTGAATTTTGTCATCAATAATATAACATCACGTTTTTAGAATCTACTTAAAAAAAAATGCATCGCGCGATCTATCGCGTGTCGAATAACAATTTCGTAAACTGTAACGTTCGCTATTGGTTATCAATTCTTGCGATTACTTAATTTCGCCCGTAGTACGAATGTTACGCTAACACGTCGAGATAGGAAATGTTCGGTTTGCTACAAACCGAGCAAGAAAGGATGAAAAACATAATTATCTTCGACGCTTTGAATAATTCATGGAATTACGCGCAGTGGGATGTTTATATCAATTCTTTGCGTTATCAGCAAGTCACACGAGTAAGAATGCGCGATGACACCAGTAGTTTCTGCTCGAAATGTCAAATTTACATATAAAAAGAAGGCTTGGAGCTACTGCAAGGTGTTTGTGTCTTCGTAATTTACCAGAATAAAAGCTATTCAAGCGTTTCGATCAGTATTGAGATCATCTTCAGTGAGAAACAAATTCGTCTACGTTGTACGTATAATAACAGTAAAGGAAATTGTAAAATACGATCGAAGTCGTCCTAAAACTGGTCTTCAACAATTAGGATAAATAAGAAGAGTCAGTTGAAGCGCATGAAAACTTGGATTTTTCAAGCATCGGAAGTACACAAAAAATTATTCAGCGATTCAAATTCCTATAGCTTTTCTATAGAATCGATTGTCTTATTTCATTCATTTTATTCATTTATTTTTAGACTTCCTAACTGTTTTGAGAACAGACATATGTATACATATAATCTTCCGACTCCTCGTAATCATCGGCAAAGATCAAATTAAATATATGGAGACCAGAAAAAAAACGAATAAATATTTCAACAATGACTCGACACTTTTTAACGGCGAATCTGTTAGTGAAACACGTAGGTCTGCATGCATTGATTAGCTTAATCGATCGTGAAAAATTCATCGACCTTTCGAAACCTTTTATAAAATATTCATGTATTCGCGCGACGGTCCGAGTTCTCGTCAGAGTTCCCGCCTTATGTAACAAATCGAGAATGGGTATGTGCCAGTGCATCGCCCGTTACGTTCAACGCACCCGCGTTACGGTGCGTCACCATCGGTCGGTAAACGAAACGTCGGTATCGTCGCCCATTACTTTATCGACACTGCGTTCCATTTCTAGCCACCCACCTTATCCGCCATGTGGAGACAAAATGTCTCCAGTTTCGAACAGTTGTACATACGACGATACAGAAGGGACATGGCTAACAATGCAGCCAGGCAGAAGAACGGAATTTGGCTCGAGACATGTGTATCCTTCAGTCGCTTGTTACTTTCAATTTTCGCCAAAACTGCCCTCGCCGTTTTACTACTTCGCCCACCGGATTCCGCCCAAAATTATCTCCGCGGATCTCACCGATCGATGAAATGCATTTGTTTCGCCGTAGATCGAATCCGCTCAACAACGATAATTCGTCAGCGTTACCTATTCGGCTCTCGGGGGACTTAAATATTCGTGCGTTAGCCGATCACCTTCGCTGACCACCAGCGAGCAAAAGTGAATAATACGCTAACAGTTTGTCAGCAGATTCGAGCAGAATATCGCGACGGTATTTAGTATCAAGCTCGTGCTAAGCTAAGCAAGCGGCCCTGCTTGGTATAATCCGACGAGCAGCAGAAACCGAGCAGGAATTGTGTCATTTTGTAACCGCTCGAACGGAATGTGTCGTTTAAATGGTTACGAAATGGCACGTTCTGCTCAATTTCTGTAATCAGTTTGTCCTCGCATTCTATTCTACTGGCAGATTACATATTACATGTTTACATTATCGTTTATTTGGCTGTCTAAGCGAAAAATCAATATCATTTATATCGAAAAAACAAAAGAGAAAGAAGGAGTTAAAAGACGATCACGAACAGTTAATGTAAAGTCTATTCCTCGGTCACATTCCTGCCCTTACGGAAAAAACGTTCAAGTTTTGAGTGTTAAACACTTGATTGTCCTTGATTTACATTGAAATTTACTCTCAAATTTCAATGTAAATACTTAAATCGAGTGTTAATACGCAAAACTTGAATGTTTTTTCCGTAAAGGCCCGTAAAGGGATGACCGAGGAACAGACTTTATATGATAATCTCTTTAGGTTGCCAGTAATAAACAACCATGGATCAGTTTAGTCGACCTTAACTGGCACTTGTTTAATAAATTAAAAATAAAAAACATAATATAACGTGCAACGTTGCGACCACGGGTTTGGGTTCTTATCAAGCACAAATTCTAAAAGGGAACAAACCAATAATCGGAGTTACACACTTATCGTAGATACAAATAAAAAATTACAAATAAAATTTAAATTTATCGAGTATCAACACTCAAAACTTGAGTGTTTTTTCCGTGAGGGTGGACCCGCTTGACAATCGTGAAAATTGTCCCAGGGATAGTCCCGTGTTTCTCCGACAGTACTTTTTGAGCTTCTTTTTTTAAATCGCTGCGCGCCAGGTCCAACTTGGTCCTTCTCAATGGCGGCGCGACGCGTGCACGCGCGTCTCTCCTGGCAGGTAGGTAAGAGACGCACGCGTTTGCGTAATACCCCGCTGCTTTATGCACTCACACGTCGACGTTGTTATCGCGGCCGTCGGCGCCTCGCGTAGGAAAGGTCGTCCCTTCCGCCACGACGCCCATCCGGTGACGTTCGCTCGCGCGCGCGACGCCGAAAGGAGAAGAGAGATCCGACTATCGAAATAGGCGCTCCCGTGCCTGCGTAACCCTTGAAGCGGAGACAGCAGACTTATATTCTATTGCTGCACTGGTGAACTGGTACAGTAAGCCAGAGTGAAAAAAAAAACATACTTCCCAGATAACATGCTTGTCTAAAAGACATCTTCAAGACTTCTTTAAAACGTCTTTAAGATATCTTTTAGACGTGTATTTCTAAAGATGTCTAAAAGACGTGTTAAAGACATCTTAAAGATGTCTTTTAGACATGCATGTTATCTGGGTTGTCTCACTCCAATTTGTTGCACTAGTCCACCAGTGCAGCGATAGAGAACAAGCCTATTATACTCTTACAGAAATGTAACAATTGGGAGCGAAAAAAGCACTGAACAATTACTAGAGCTCAGTAATGGAATTATTGGAATTTGTTGATGTATAGTAATTTTCTAGCCACTGCCACTTCGTCGTTATACTACATTTTGATTATTTACAGCTAATCGTTACACAGAAACCTTTTAAATGAATGCAAAGCTGAATTTTAGAACAATAATACGGCGTCAAATATCGAAAGAAAGTATATGTCCGAGTAAACAAGGTTTGAGTAAAAAAAGTGATTTTTACAGGAGTCTTTTTTACTCAAAGCTTCTAGTTTCTTTTTTCTGCGGTACTTTTCAATTTTCATCACTAGTTAACGTTCGATGCGTTTGACGTCGATTCGACCATTATTTCTCACTGGGATGGATGTGGGTGTGGGTGTGGGTGTGGATGATGTGATTTGCCGCATCCCCAATTTCTACTTCGGCCGTTCGCTCGCGTGGGACGTTGGCAATATCGAAAACAACGGCAAATAAACGGCGACTACCGTCGCGGCTACTTCTCGCCGACAGAAATCGTGGGCTCTGAATCCTCGGCTGAACGCCTGGGACACCCTGTATAACACGGGCGTGCTTCGCTCCGCCCCGACGACGCGGAGGAAACGATATACCGGCGAGGCATGCACGTCGCGCCGCCGGTGCTTCTCGGCTTCTGCGGCACCGAGGACTCGCTCTCGGCTCGCAGGACCGGGAATCGCCGAGGCGGCACGTGCCTCCACCAGGACCGGAAAGCAGGCGACCCTGAGAAGCAGCGGCGACGCGCGAGGAGACGCTCCCGCCGTCCGAGAGTGCACGGAGTTCGCGGGGAAGGAAAAAATAATTAGCGAGTAATAATAGCGAACGATACCAGGCGTGACTACGTAAGAAAACGCTAGCCCCTCGGGTGGTACCCGGCGCGGGAGGGGAGAGAGGATTCTCGGGGACGAAAAGTAGCCCTGGCGAAAATAATATGTCTATAAGAAGTTTGTTCAAATGTAGAGTCAATGTCTTAGTTTGAGTGTTAAAACATTTGTTGAATTGTTTGTGAGATATCAATTTAAACACGGAGTTGTTTATGACATGTTCACGGTTACAAGTGTTGCGTTTAATGATACAATGTCAAACGTTTCCATTATAGTTTTCTAAGCGTTTGTAAGATGTTGTCAGTAAAGAATTAACCAGGTGTTTGCGACGTACTTCCAATCGGTATGACCATCAATAAAACTCTTAACAAATATTTATTAACATCATCTCTCACTTAAAATTTTCGCCAGGGAGGACGTGTAGGACAAAGAGACTGCATATCTCCAAAACGGAAGGGATTCAGTTAGGTCGTTCCGAGAGAAAAGAAAGAAACGGACAGTTTTCTCGAACGATTGGGATCATTGGGATCCAGTCACGGTAGGATCTCTCTGTTGTACGTTGCGTAGTCAGAGGTCGCCAGTAGACCCAGCGAGAAATTAGAGTCCCAAATGATAAAGAGAAGCGCAATCGTTGCCCCCTCCATGCTTCTCATGGTCGCCATGTTGGGCCCGCAACTGAAACAGTACAGCTAGTGCAACATGGTACAGCTGAGATGGTACAGGTTATGGTACGATACAGCGCTAAACCACGCAACATGTATACCGAAGGTGTATGGAAAATGTCTCGGAGATATCTAAAATATGTTTTCTTTTAGAAAATAACATTACAAATGTACCTTCTTCCTATTTACAGTGCGCTTAGTTTGCACATAGGATTCACTACGGGCTCAACATGGCGGCCAGCCAATCAGCATGCGAGACGCCAATCGCGCTTCTCTTATTATTTAGGACTCGAGCGAGAAATGACTCGTCGATCGATGTCGAAACGACGTCGAATCGACACCGACACCGTCAAATTGATGTTCGAGGTTGACGCCAATTTGACAGTGTCGATTCGACGTTGTTTCGACAAATCATTTCTCACTGGGGAGCGATGCCATCGTAATAGAAACAAAAGAGTCGCTCTCGGGCGACGGGAGTGCAGTTTCTTCCTCGGGCGCAGCCCAGGACCGCGGGACTTCCGGCGAGGCGAGATGAAGCGAGAGGGAGGGAGGGAGTCGTCGTGAGCGTCGTGAGGAACGGCGCGCTTCTTCCGGTGGTCGGGACGGAATCGGAATTGCAGATGGCGCCCGGGCTGCGGCCGCCTCGCCATCGTCATCGCCATCGCCGCTGCTGGTCGAGTCAGTCGGCCACAAGGGCGCGGCGAAGGGGTGGGGGAGGGAAGGGGCTGCGCCCGTTCGCCTTCTCGTAGTCTTTCTACGATCCGCCATCCGCTCCGACGGCCAGTGCTGACGCCGGTGACGAAAGAACGATATTCGCGATCGAAGCCGGCGCTCGCGGCCGAGGAGAACGGAAGAGCTCTGCAAGAACGAGTCGGAGCGGAGTGCTGGAGGCAGGGAGGGAAGGGAGAGAGATAGATATAGATAGACGGAGACGGAAAAAGAGGGATAGACGTAATTAGAGAGGTGAGGAGAGGAAGCTAAGAGGAAGGAAGAAGCGGCGACACTCTTGTTCGCCGCCGATGCTTTTTTTTTCAGTGAGACTCGTCGATCGATGCCGAAACGACGTTGAATCGACACCTTCAAATTGATGTCGATGACGATTCGACGTCGTTTTTCTCCACGTCGACCGACGAGTCGTTTCTCGCTGGGTTGAGACGCGACGCGACGCGACGAATAGACGAACGGGACGAACGAATGAATGAATGGGTGAAGCCTCGGCGATTAATTGATCCTCGGAGGGAGGGGCCCCCTTTGGCCGGCTGCTCGATTACTCGAGCGTCGATCGTTGCTGAAGTGACGCTAATTGTCGACGCCGCGCTAACGTCAGAATAATAATCCACCGCGGAGACGGCCGCATTTTATTATGTGCCTACGACATTGCGTCGCGACATACCCGTATTTCGTTCTTGCGCGTTATATTTATTTTTAATTGTCACGCTTCGGTTTGTAATAATATTATTATTATTACATAATGAAAGTTCTGCGGCGCACACGTGGCGAGCGGTACGTGTTAAAAAGCCCCTCGGGTCACCGTGCGGTCACCGTCGCTCGGGCGGTCGGATCGCGGACGAAGGCGCGTCTTCTCCGTCTCGGACCGCGCGCGACGGTCCGATATCGCGGCCGCGGAGAGCTGGCCGGGGCTAATCATGGCGCCGCGCGGCGCGGCACGCCGGCGTTCCCCGCGGCCGTGGGAGCCACTTGACTAAATTCGATCTACGCGCGACTCGCGCGAGCGATCGCCGCCGTGGACGCACGAGGCTTGCCTTCTATTGCCGCACTGGTCAACTATAGTGCTACAAACTGGAGCGGGAGAAGTATGTTTCTTTCATTCCGGCTTGCCGCGCTGGCTGACCAGCGCGGCGATGGAAAGCAAGTCTACGGTCGGTCGATCGCGGTCGACCCGATCCTTTTCGCACGGTACAACCAGTAGGTCCACTCTCCGCGTGGGAATCCGCCATGTCTGGTGCAAATCCAGTAGAGCGCATGTGTGTGTTCTCGTCAAGTTGCAACTACTCCATGTAGTAACTTTAGGCTGAGACTTAAGACTGCATCTTAACCCATGAGAAACGATGCCGTTAAATTGACGTCGATTCGACATCGTTTTCGACATCGACCGACGAGTCGTCTCTCGCTGGGTCGGGAGCCGCCGCGATCGCCGCCGATCGCCGACGGTGCTCCGGCCCGGAGGAGCACCGCGGCCATGTTTGCGCCGACGTCCACGCGGCGATATTTGGAGCGGAAGCGGAAGAGCGGGAGCCGACGGGACGCCGTATCGACGTTAGGTCCGCGCGCCCGTTTTTCTCCCTGCCTCCTCCCCCTGTCCCCTTTTTCTCGCACCTTTGTCCTAGGCACATCCGAGGGACGCGCGCCCGTAATCTCCCTCGCGGAATCGTAGGCGAAATAATTACCAGAAAATTACCGCACGTCAGTCATTTCTGGGGCTCGATCGCGAATCTTTTCCTCTAACGTCAACTCCCCAGCGGGAAATGACTCATCGACCGATGCCAAAACAATGTCGAGTCGACATCGCTACGGCGAAACATTTCTCCCTGGGTCGTGAAAGGTGAAAGATTTCATTAACGAGTCGAACACTCGTCAATGAAGTTCGCCACCTGGCACGATTTCACTCTAGAGGAAAATATTCGCGATCGTACCCCCGGGGTTCGATCACGAGTCTTTTTCTCCAGCATGAGAACTCGCGAGAAAGGTGAAAGAATTCTATTGACCAGTATTGAATTCGCCAATGAATTATTTTTCACTCCTCGCGAGTTCACGCCGGAGGAAAGGATTCACGGCCGAGCCGTCGACGATTCGATTACCGAGCTCTGGCAGCTACTCAGTGCCTTTGTCGTTCCCGGCGTACATACATTTCCGTGAGGTCCCGGAAACGAGGAAACGAGCGCGAACGCGCTTTGCCCTTCGCCACGCGACCCGGGAGATCGTAGAAATCGGCAGGGGAGAGAAGAGGAAGTCGCGTTACGGGACTGGGGCCGCGACGACGACGACGACGCGATTTCGCGAGCGCGAGCGCGAATTTCGCGTAGCTCGGCACTTTCGCGACGCGCTCGGAAATCGCGATCGAGCGTGACGACGACCCGCGGCGCGACGGGGGGCCCCGGCGCGCGTCCTCCTCCGTCGTCTCGCGGGGCCGTTAACGATCGCGACAACGCTCTGCTCCTGCCTCTCTGCACGCGCGTGTTGTCGCCCGATAGATCCGGCCCCTAGAGTCGTCGCGGCGCGGCGACGAAGGAGGAGGTAGCGGCCGTGGCGGGGGAGGCGGGGCAGGGAAGAGGAGAAAAAAAGAGGAGAGGTCGGTCGCGAGACGCCGTAGGAGACTCCGCGGTGGCGGACGCCGGGAGATGCTTTTCGGGGATCATTTTCTCCCGCGGGAGAAGATTTTCCCCAATTCCGCCGCCCGCGGGGAAAAAGGGAAAAGAAAATATGGCGGACCGCCGCCGCCGCCGCCGCCGCCGCCGCCGCCACCACCACCGCCGCCGCCGCGCGTGTCGTGTCTGCGTCGTCTCCATCGTGAGGAGAAACAGGCGCACGAACGCACGCACGCACGCAGGCACGCGCTGGTCCGGCCTGGTACTTCCGTAATAAACGCCGAACCGGAATTCGTTCGGACCGGACGCCCGGCGGCGGCTAACGTCGCAGGACGAAAATAAGTAGCATTGTTGTTGCTGCGCTCCGGCAACAACACGACCGGGAAAGCGGCCCGGCGCGCCACTGGCGGCCCGCGATATCGCTCCGATAGAGGTTTTTTAATCGCTCCTGGCTCGCAAGAGCCGAGAGCGGAGTCGGACGGGCGCGTTCGACGCGTTCGCAGCGAGAGCGTCGTCGCCCCCGTCGTGCCGTGCGACGCGCGTGAATGCGCCAGCAGCAGCAGCAGCAGCAGCAGCAGCAGCAGCAGCGGCGGCGGCGGCGGTGGCGGTGGCGGTGGCGGTGGCAGAGGCCGCAGAGGCAGCAGCAGCAGCAGCAGCAGTAACAAGAGCAGGCGGTGAGTGCCACGAGCGTAATCGTAATCGTTATTGCCAGTCGAGAGTCCGACGATGACGGTGCCTCGCGCCGGACGCTAGAGAACGTGGTGAATAATTATTCCTGCGCGGAGGAAGCGAAGGCGAGCGAGACGGGGAGACGGAGAGAAGTGGAGGAGAGCGAGAGCCCGCGCGCGCGCCATGTTTCCTGCGGCGGGCAAGGGCGAGCGAAGAAGTCTGCGCGGAAGCGCGCGGCTCTCGTCCAAGATGTCGGGAAGACTGTCCCGGTTGCGTGCACTGCGGCCGCGGCCGCAGCAGCAGAGGCGCGCGAGAACGGAGCCCGTCGCCGTCAGCCCCGCGACGACGACGACGCGGCCGGAAGGTAACCTTAAAGGGGCCGCGGCGAGTCACGAGGTGGAGCGCGATGCGAGGAGAAGATACGACGCGTGGAAGGGCGAAGATACTCCGGGCGCCGCTCTGAACAAAGCGGCCGAGATGGACGGGGGTGACAAGGACGACGAGCTGACGATGACCGCCATCGACGAGCAGAAGCAGGAGGAGGAGGAGGAAGAGGAGGAGGAGGAGGAGGAAGCGATGCTGGACGGCGGCGACGTTGAAGTTGACGTCGACGTCGACGTCGACGTCGCCGTCGCGGTGAATGCCGAGGGTTCGGCCGACGGCGAGGCGGCGGTCGAGCAGGCGTCTTACGAGTGCAAGACCTGTAAACCGTCGAGAACGCTGCCGAGTATCAAGGCCTACTTCGAGCACCTGCGAAAGCAGCACGGATACAAGGTGAGCAGCCGCGAGGACGATCCTCTCGCTCCATCCAGATTATTAACCTCTCGAGTTTGTCTCGCTACGTGTTTCACGCTCTCGTGCTTATTTAAAAGAGTTTGTTTATTTATCTCTCTCCTCTCTTTCCGTCTCTTTTTCTCTTTCTCCCCCCCCCCCCCTTTAAACATGGCCGTTTTTAAAACGGAAGGTACGACGAGATCGGGAGGGAAGATTCCGTTTTAAAAACGGAAGGTGGTATCCAACGGCTACGTGTCAGTGGTGGAGGCACAGCGTGTTAGCGTGTTACCGTGTTATATTTTTTTCTATACCGCAATTGCCGCACTTACGTTAGTTTGAGCGACGCGCTAAGTGAAACAATGAATATGCAGACGACGCAAGAACTCATAGGGCGCAGAAGGAATATGTTTTATTGTAATTTTTAGGGCAAAAACGGGCACAGTCCAGTCGAAAATCGTTGCCCTGCGTGTTCGTATGTCGCATTGAACGTGAAAGATCTTGAAAATCACCAAAGGGTGCATCATTTGAAAAGAAAATTCTTTCGATGCGCAAAATGCGATTACGTGACGCACATCAGAGCGCGTTATACTAAGCATGTTAAATATCATTCTATGCCGATGATCAAGTGCGATGCTTGTGATTTTAGTTCAGCGTATAAGGTTTGTTCCTCACTACTACTTGGTTTCCCAAGCGGATACATGTTTAAGCGTATATCCAGAAACTTTCCAGGGTTTCTCGGAGGAGAGCTTTGCGATTACGACACTTGAGACTATGTAGATTATATGTGTGCCTTTAACGCTGTTTTTCAGTGGAATCTAGAAAGACACATGCGGAATCACGGAGGTGGAGGTGCTTTCAAATGTCGTGCATGTAATTTTACCGCTGATATCCGTCAGAGCTTAACGGTGCATGAGTCGTATCATCATGACCCACCTGTGGGTCAAGTCAACCGCAAAAGTAATAACGCTTTCGAACGTAAGCCACGAAATAGTCCAAAGCGTTACAATCAGGTATTACACATAAAGCATACGTATACGATCGTAATGCCCTGCGTTAGAAACGCGCCGAATCAATCGCCGTATCGCATAACACGTATTTCAATGTCCGCCAGGTTGGAGCCAGCGACTTTCGAGAGGCGCTGAGCAAGGGTGGCGGAAGTACAACCACGTCGGCCGGTTCTTCCGACTCGTTCGTATCAGATCACTCGTTAATCTCGATAGACGATAAGAAAAATGCGGCTTGCATCGAGCTTAAGTGCGAGAAGAAGGGCTGCGAATTCTCAACCGCCTGGAATTCCGAGATGCAGCAACATTTAGCGGAATGTCACGCGCCGGTCGTTCCGTCGAAGCCGAGAAAGCCGCTGCCGATGTTGATTCCGCTGAGCCTGGCGGGCTCCAAGTCCAATAACGCGCACAACAGTAGTAGTAGTAGTAGTAGCAGCAGTAGTAGCGGGCCGCCTACGACCCTGCTCAAGGTCCCGCGTGTCAGAGTGAGACCTGAGCTGGCGCAAATCGCGAGAGACACGGAGCTGGCTAAGATAAGCAAGGAGGTTGGTTGAGATAATTTGTCTCGTTGGCTTTGTTGAGAGAAGAGTCTATACAACGTGGCGTCTTATCGTCTGCTTTCAGGCCGTGAGTTTGAGGAGGAATCTCCACGCGGCTGGTGTATTTGAGAGAAAGAACGCTTCCTTCTTCGATAAACTGAAGGAGAAGCTAACGACGACCGCGACGTCGATTAATAACGGTGTGCCGGAGGTAGCTGTAAGTAGCGAAAACGACTTGAAATGCTGGTGTACGTTTAAAGCTGGTAGCATGGAAGAGCTAGCTTGCCACAGACAGACACACCACACCGCGCTCAGCGTGTCCGTGGGCACGACACGTTGCCCTAAGTGTAGAAGACGTTGCAAGAGTACGACCGATCTCCAAACGCATATGCAATCCTGCCACTCGCGCAACGACGCTACGCCGTCCGTCGATAGTAGTTTAGAGAAAGTAACGAATCGCTCAGACGTCCGCATGACCTCGTACCGCGACGAATGCTCTTTTTCGCCGCAGCTGGATTGGGACGCGAATGTCAGAGGACTAAATTCTTCTGGATCCTCGGTACGGTGCTTGATAATTTACGTATATACGTTAAGAAAACCGCTGCGCAACCGCGACTCTCTAGATGCGAACATCGACGTCAAGTCTGTATAAAGCGACTCAAGTTTGAAAATTCTTTGTAGAAGGCACTTGTGAGATTTCTACTCTCATTACTATGTGGATTATTATTTTTTATTTTATTTTGGCTTGTATACTTCATAATTTCACGTTTCTGTAAAATAGTCAAAGACCTATGAATGTTGCTGTTGTTATTATTGTTAGCGTTAGCACAAGATATTTTGTAGGAGTATGCATAAAGAAGCTCGATGTATAGCGAAGTGGTGGGCGTTGATTAGAAACTAGAGCGAGCCTCCTTGTGTTTCTTTTTATTTATTATTAAGAATGTGCTTTACATATTGCATAGTGGATGTCGAGCATATCTCCTTCTAGTTCGTTACTAGTTCGTTTCTAGTTTGTTTCTGCTGGCAGTCCTACTTATTACGATAAAAAAAACTTTTGTCAGTTCGAAGGTGGTCCGACACATCCGGGCGGACGGCGGGTATTCAAATGTCCCCATTGTCCGTTTTGGGCTTCCACCGCAAGTCGCTTTCACGTACATATAGTCGGTCATTTAAACCGGAAGCCGTTCGAGTGTTCAATGTGCGCGTATCGTTCTAACTGGCGATGGGACATCACAAAACATATTAAGCTTAAAGCGGCTAAAGACGCAGTGCATACGAGCGCCAGAGTGCTCATGACGGATGAGACAGGTCGACGGAATTATTCCAAATATAACAAATACCTCGCACAGGTGAAATAATGAATCTCAGTTATATAAAATAATTCATTTGCCCTTATGTATATACATACATATACACCTATCTCACATCGTTATGCGATAATTTAAACGAGCAACACCAATGATTGCCTTGCGCAAAGGATGTACGATGAAAGAATCTCGGCATCACAATTCGGCACACGGACGCTTCATCACTATTGCATTGTGACACTTGTTGTAAGCATATTCTTAGTAATCGATAGACGGAGGATGTCGATCCCATCTTTCCCCCACGAAAGTTCGATCGATGTTTTCGAGAGTTGTGCGAAAATCGAGCGAAACGTTCGCCGGTTTATCACGAGCCCGATACAAAATTTTTCATGATGTAGCTTGACAAACATTATTTCATGACATCTGACATCTCGTCTAACGCGTCCCCTCTACCGTGAAACCCCATTTACACGACACAATGTCTCTGCTCCAGGTAGAACAGCAATCGTGGGACGAGGATCGTATGGAGCAGCGTAGCATAGAGGAAACCAATTCCGATGAGTCGTCGACCAAGTTGTTGATCGTGGGCAACAAGGAGTACGTTCCGATCGCTGGCCCGGCCCCGCAGTCCGCTGTCACGATTTTACCTTCGAGCGAGGCGAGTCAGAACAGTCACGGTGTAGACATGAGTCTGCGACCACCGCCCCCGCTTAAAGCGGCGATCAGAAATCGCGGGCAGTCTCTGTTGAAGACCAGTCCTATCACGATGCACATTACCACCCCTAGCGGTGGCGGCGCGGTCTCCATATCCCCAGCGGTGGACGAGAGTAAACGCACTCAGTGGAAGTGTAAACGCTGTGATTACCGAGACACCAACAAGAGCATGGTGATGTTACATGTCAAGACTCACAAACCTACCGATCACGAGTTCATGGAGGAAAGGGTGGGTTCTGTAAAATGTAACTTTTCGCGGTCGTGGTGGTCGAGGAGTTTAAATGAGAAATAGTGTGAAAAACCGACATAGTAGCTCAGTAAAAATATTTATCAGATATTGTAGCAGTTCAGGCTAAAAATATGGTACAAGTTCCATCATACGAGTTGTCCGTCCGACAGCTGTTTCCGCGATTGTAGGAAGTTGCTAAAGAATAACTTTGCTTTTAAACTTTGTATCTGAGTAACTAACATTCTGATCTAACGCGCTCCGTCTTTCGCAGAATCCGTTTGGCTGCGGGGATTGTCCGTTTTCGGCATCGGATGCTGCCACGCTGTCCCTTCACAGGATGCACCATCGGCCGAACTTCGAAGCTATATTTAAATGCTATCTTTGTCCATACTACGTTAGTACAAAGGCGTATGTGTCGCTGGTAACTTGCTTTATTAACATGAACGCTGTGTTTTTTATAAATTCATGATTTAATCTCATTATCGATTTTTCTCTTTTGTAACATTAAGGGAATTTTTAAAATTTTTATCAGTAACAGAAGATTGCAATTGTTCTGACATTATATTTATAATATACACCGTGTTGTGGAATATTGTATGTATATGTAATGCAATACATGTAAACATGATACGTTATTTGTTGTGTCACAGAGAACTGTTGGAACACGCTAGGCTCCACGGGGAAGAGCTGGCAGCTATACATCAGCAAAACGTAGATTTCCAGTTTTCAAACTCCAAGAATCAACTGCACCAGGTGTCGATTACCGAGGGCGGTAAGTTGTGCGATGCGTTTGTACACGTACAATTCATACGCTGAACATTTTCCGCAATCTGAGCCTTTGTTACAGGCGTTTCTCGAACGAAAGACGAGTCCATAGAACAAGTGATTCATATAACGTCGCGTGTCAACAACGTAACGGCGACTTCGAAAACAGCGGCAGCTCAGCAACCACCACCCCCACCACCCTCGCTTCTTTTGGATACCCGATCCCTTCCAAATGCCCCACTTGTTTGGGTGTCACGGCTAGATGGTACACTGACGAAGATGCTCAAGTGTCGCCATTGTCCATACATTTCGTCGCGGCACGCAGAAGTGCGCGATCACGAGACGATGCACGTGGATGTGCCGACTCAGGGTCCCCTGATCGCCTGCACGGACTGTAGCTTCACCTGCTCGCAGCGGGAGGTCATGATCGCGCATACAGAGATGCACGCGGGCTCTCTGGGTACCATACACTGTCTCGTCGACGAGACGCGACCTGATGCTCAACAGGTGAACGATCTGACCACACTGCTTGACATGACGCACAACCCCGTGCTGGGCTCTGAACCCGATCTACAAGACTCGCGTCTGGTGCACTGCTGCGGTAAGTGCCCGGCACGGTTTCTGTGCGAGAAAGAGCTGCGTATCCACCTGCGTTACCATACCACGGAGCTGGCGTATTCATGCCAATGGTGCTCGTACGCAGCGCGGCAGCAGGCACATCTCCTGGCGCATCAGAAGGCGCACTCGACGGAGTATCAGGACCGCACCAAGTACCTGCTGTCCGTGTACGGTCACTCGCAGCGTTACCCACCGCCCGCAACAGCATGCGTCGAGGCGGAAAATCGGGAGAACAATGACGACGCGCCGAGCGTCGCGTGGATTGTCGTCGAGATCAACGAGAACGCGAATGTCTCGTACAGCGCGATCAACGGCACCACGGCGACCGTTCAGAGAACGGTGTTTACGTGTGCCAAGTGTCCGGCTCGTTACTTCAAACTGGATGCGTTGGAGTACCACATGACGTTGCACGGTTCGAATAACCGGTTCAAGTGCAACGACTGCGATTATTCATCCAAAACGGCACAGAATCTGTTGAAGCATCAAGTGGTACACCGACGGCACAACGAAACTAGCGAGGTGACCGCGGAGCTGGCGTCCAACACCGCCGCTCCCGTCGACTCCGCTCTCGCGACGTCTTCTCCCGAATCGCCGCTGCAGTCCGGGTCCGCGACACTGGATCCGCAATTTGGTATCTTTATGCGTGGAAATCCCAACTTTGTTTATCCGGGTTACCTGAGGAATGGCCGTTTGAAGGAAAAGCGCTACAAGTGTCACAAATGTCCGTCCGCTTTTGAGAAGCGCGAACAGTACCGGGTTCATCTGACCCTGCACGGCGCGAAGCAGCGCTATCGCTGCGACACGTGCGACTACTCGGTCAAATACTATGCGAATTACGTACAGCATCTGAGGAAGCACCAGGCGAACGCGGAAGCACAGGCATCTCGCAGGCAATACGAGGACGATCGGATCTCGGTCGATAGCGACAGCATCACCGACATGGCCGCGCCAACGTCGTCGCGCAAGTCCTCGCGATCCTCCGCTGCCGCTGTTAACATGCTCGCATTGTCTTCCGCCAACAATGCGTCCAATGTCAATAACGCGCTGCAGCCGTCCAATCAGGATAGGCAGAGTTTGCTGCTGATGCAAAAGAAGGGCATAATCTCGTCAACGGGCGAGACCGACGCGGAGAGGATCCGCTGCCAGAGCTGTCCGTTCTCCACCACCGACAAGGACGTCATGGATACGCATAAGCGTCGCCACGGCATCGAGCGTATGACGCCGTCGTGCCCGCATTGCGACTACATTCCGCGGAAAGACGAGAACATCAACGAGCACATCAAGCTACACTTCACGAGACTGTACAAGCCCGAGTCCTATCTCATCGTCGAGCTGCTGACGCTGACGATGGAGAAGGTATCCACGAACAGCAAGAACGACAAGGGCAGTCAGCGGTTGCAGGAGGTGTTGTTCAAAGAATGCTCCGACGGTAGATTCCTGCCGCTCACCGAATCGATCAACTCTTTTTCCCTAGGTACCTCCTCCACATCAACGAAGGCTACTAAGGAGAAGGTCACTGTAGATCCAAACACGGGCGAGACCAAACACCATCGTTTTGCCACGTAAATCGAACCTTTACCTTTAGCGATTTGTGTCAGCCACAAATACAACGTGTTTATATGCCTTTTTCTATGTAAGAGACTGGTTCGAAATTGTGGCAGACAACGTAGTTGATCTCGCGAACGATTATAGAATTATATAATGCGCATTGTAAAAATCGGCGATCTTGTTTTCGTTTATAGTTAACGGAGGTTATCAGAATTGCACATCTTATTTCTAGAAGTTTAAATAAAAGAGTATGTATACATACAAAGATTCGCCTTTTTCGATGGCAATGCATACGCGGCGTGCTTTGTCCGATTGCATTCGCTTCTGATTTTTTATGCATTTCATCACTGATTAGTGTTCAGTAACTTGGACTGACAATGTGTGTGTGAGCATACTCTATGCCAAGTTAATACATTGTACGTACGCCATATTTTGTTAATACGTTGGCTAACGATGGGCACAAGACGAATCTAATCGCTTCTAAAATATGAAAATTGTGAAAATTTTTAATAATTTCACATACTGAAGAACCAAAAATGAGTGTACAGCTTTAGTAATTGAACACTTTCATGATCATTGGAAGCTTCACAGGTTTTACTGACACAAGTCCTTAAAAAGGTGACTTGATAATGTAACATGCATTCTGTTATCGGAAAAAAACAGATTAACAAAAAGACAAAAATTTGATTTAGTCGTGGAAGACTTAAAATGACTTAAGTATCTACAAATCTCAAGAATGATTCAAATTTAAGTTTTTTTATAAGTATTTTTATAAAATGTGAATATACTTTGAAATTCAATGATGATAAATCTTCACGTTGGCTCTATACAGTATGACAATATTATGCCACAATCAAAAATTAACTAATTGATTTCTTAGGTATATAACATTTTCAGATATTTGCTTCTTTGAACATTCGAAGCAGTGCAAAGTGTGTGGGTGCATATATATATATATATATATATATATATATATGCATATATATATGCAAAAAATGTATATATATGCAAAAAAATATATATATGCAAAGCAATTTAAAGCAGTTATACATATATTCAGTTTAAAATAGCGTTTTCGAAATAATATGAATTTTTATATGATTAATGTAGATTTTCGAAGAGAGTCGAGTGCCCATCTCGAACAATGGCCAGTTAACACATGACACGGCCATTATTGTAAATATTTATTTGAAGCCTTACCGGTCTTGTACAATAAATGATAATAAATGCTCATACTGTATATACACATATTCACTTGGGCCGGTATTCATAGTCGGATCTTACACCCAAGACCGTCCTGAATTTATCTAAAGATGCTGTATGGAACATTTCATTGGCTACGGAGTATCTAAAGATGATCTTAAGACAGTTTTGAATACAAGATCTGACTATGAATTCCGGCCTTATTGTTGTTTCGTCTAAAAATATATAACACGCATTTATAAGACCGTGACGGGTTTTGCAAACTTCGCAAACCTCGCCGAATTTAAATTACCTATTTTCTTAACGAAGAGATTTATCCGAGGGACGCGCAACTGGCCAAAACTATCAAGTTTACTTTTGTTTAATTTCTCTATGCGTTTATTTTCAGAAACCTATTTAGATTTACCTTCGTCGCGGAAAAATAATTCATTATATTCGTGTTACACAAGTCGTGATTACTTTGTGAACTTCCCACTTTAACGTCATTCAATAGGCTTGTTTTCTGTTCCTACACTAGTGAACTAGTGCAATAAATTGGAGTAAGACAAGCATATTTTTTCTCATTCTAGCTTACTGCACTATATAGTTCACCAGTGCAGGAACAGAAAACAAACCCAATGTACAGGTGGAGCTGGTCCCTTTAAATCCACATGATCAATTTCTAATTATAGAGGAAAGTCCCCTGTTGTGAGATAGGGTTCTAATATGAGATAGCAGATTTTCAACATCCAAATTCAATCACAATATAACAATAAATCTTCCGGCTCCTGGGTTGTCACTGCGGCCATATTGAATTTTGACGTCAGAAGCGAGAAATGACCACTGAAATAAGCCCGCTGCAGACGATGCTATTTTTCCTGCTGGATTGCTTGCAATCTAATAAATTACTATCGTTGCACCATTCAGCACTCAGGATTCCTAGTAATTTACTAAATCGCAAGCAATCCAGCAGGAAAAATAGCATCGTCTGCAGCGGGCTTAACTGGAACGCGCGCTATAGAGCCGAGCCACAGTATAACCA